TTCCAACTCAACTGAAGTCCAGTGTTATGTACGTAAAATATCTCTACGGGGACCAAGCCTATTCCTAGTCTTCATCAACGAGCTTGCAAGTGTACTCCCGTCGAACTCCCCCCCCTTTTACGGATCATGTCACGATCTTACACGATAACAAAATAGTGACTGATAATACGCCTTTTAGGGTGACCTCATCATGGTACGTACGTGCTCATCCGAGAACAGGCTCAAGCTCAGCGTGGTTAAGTTCAAAGTTGTAAACATACGTCATCAGCTTGCCAATGAACATCGACTTGGAATCAGCAGTTTCAGCTTGCTTCCCAGGCAAGCGATCTCGGAGGAGTTGTGCAGAATGACTTTGATTGCCTGAAAGAGGTCGACGAACCATCGTGAAGAGCTATTCAGTAATTTGAGCTCCTGTGGGGGCCTTAGGATTTCCGATCTTTTCCTCCTTCCGCAAATGATGAACGCTTACCTGAAACTTCATGAGAAATACCCTTTCAAAGCTTAGCGTCAGCAGCTGAAGTTCTGCGATGCATGAAAACCAAAATTGCTAGAGCATTGTTTCACCTCCCCCAACAACACAGACTGCAAGCGCTTATGTGTTTCAGTGGTGAATATCGGCATTTTCAAGGGGATCTCATCATGGCTTACCTAATATTGACGAACCCTAAGCAAACTTGTCGTAAGTTGTTTCAACCTGAGGCTTCCAGCTCAAACGAACCGCACACCATCGTCAACTGGTTTTTCAACAAAATAATTTCTTTATTATGGTATTCCGGACATTGAACGCTTTTCCATCTCAAATTCACATATGTCGCATATTAATGCTTTTCAAAAGACGACTTGACAGCGCGCTCTATCCCTCTTGCTCCACGTGCTATAGCTCCTTTTATTCGGAGAAATAATGAAAGTGAACCGAACAGTGTGCACTCTGAAACGTAGCAGTAGGTTAACAAGTATCTATGTTACAGTTTTTACCTTACTGCTTTTCTTTCGCATATAAATATCTCCCTGTACTCTATTCCATTAACTTGCGCACATCGCTTCAGCCAATTGTATTCGATTACCATAACATTTTTGTGTTTGTGGCATTCCGTGAACTATAATTCCTGACCTCGTGCACTTAGCTGGGATTTGTTTGTAAACAACTTATTACGTATGCTATTTAATTAAGAATTATGTCACCGTTTCCTTATGCATTAATCGAGTTTTTCTCTTTTGCTTTCTCTCTCTCTCAAGTGTTTGGCTGTTGTTTGATATCCCCGGTGTGGCTGCGCTTGATGTGTATGTTGACAAGGTGCCTACCTGTCTATTACCCACTACCTCGTCCATACTGGCTCCAGGAGACAGTTGGTCGTTGCTGGAGGGGACGGGGTGCACGGTCCTTGTGGCCGCGCTCGGCTCGAAGAGTGGTGCCATGCAGTCAGTGTAGAGCGGACTACGGTCCAGCCACCGTCTTGTCTGCGCTTGATTCCCCAAATACAGCGTGCTTGTGTTTGTCTGTGAAGGAGTGTGGGCCGGCTTCGTTGATGAAACGTGGCTCCCATCCGCATGCCTCCCGGTCTTATTCCTTCGGGTTTACACTGCATATGGGTGTGTGGATGGAGCTGTGGGTGGTGCAGCGCAAGCCATCCATGGTCCCTCTGTGGGCGCAGGCGTCCTGTGGCTGACCACATTGACAGGCAAATCCGAAACCGGATGCCGCCAACCATGTTCATGTGAACGTCATCTTGAGTCACAGAAAGCCAAAATTTCCCCCTTTTCTCTTGTTACTTTTGGTTGTGGGGTACTCGCTTCAGAAGCGGTCGATATTGCCCTAATCTGTGACAGCCCCCAAACATGCCAAACAGTACTGGACCGATTAGCACTGGCTGTCAATCGTTTTGCGCTATGCTTTGCTCCATCGAAATGCAAAGTACTTCTCCAAGATTGGCAAGGACCCAACCCTGCGCTAACGCTTTGTGGTGATCTGCTAGAAGTCGTTCAGGAATTCAAGTACCTGGGCAGCTATATTAGCACCCGTGGGATTGAAGATGAGGTTACGAACCGTATAGCAAAAGCTCGAGGTGCTTTTGCCAATCTCCGCCACCTGTGGCGCAGACGCGATATTACTCTCGCCCTCAAGGGCAGAGTTTATAACGCAGCCGTCCGTTCAGCTCTCCTGTACAGCTGTGAAACCTGGCCCATCAGGTCGACAGACATGAAGTGGCTCGTCACATTCGATCATTGCTGCCTTCGCAGCTTAGCTCATGGCTGGTGGGAATACCACGTGAGCAATGAGAGTGTTCGACGTCGCGTATTTGGTGCAGGAAGAGCGAGTGAACCGCTCAGCACCGTTATATCAAGCACCAGGCTCAGATGGCTAGGCCACGTGTTGCACATGCCAGCACACCGACTCCCGCGAGGTGCATTGTTTGCGCGTTGTGGGTGCGGTTGGAAGAGGAAGAGGGGAGGCCAAGTGATGACTTGGTCGAGAGAAATGAAAACCCTCACTTCGAAGTTGGCGTCGTTTGGTGCATCCCGACTGCCTGGCTGGGGTCCTAAGGACGATGAACACGTTTGGTTGGACACACTTGCTGATATGGCTCGGAGCCGGCACCAATGGCGTTTGTGTCGTGATTTCCTTTGTCCATCCCCCTCCTGTTTAGCATCCCCCTCCAATCACGATCTCACTTCTTAGGCATAATACGAGTCTCTTTTACGGCAGCCCGCTGTTAGCTCTCCGGAACGATGTCCATCCGTTACTGGGGACTCAGCGGGCGTGCCACAGTTTTCCTTTTCTTGTCTTTTGTATTGTGTCACAATAGGTGAGGTGTTTTCCACCTCCAGCTAACGTGTAATGATGATGATGACTCTCTTCAGACACCTGCTGAGTGTTCAAGTAATTACTTTTTTATCACTTATAACTCACTGCCGCTTCTCTAGTAGCCGGTTTCCTATACTCCGCTCTACAAAGCATCAGTATGATGGAGCACCGGTTACAATACGTTGGGCGTCTCTTATATTAGAATTATATGACTTAGGGAAGTCCTAACTGACCAGTAAACGGGAGACTTCCTATCGCTCCAGCTGCTATCATTTGTTACGTTTCCTGAATTACCTTCCTTGTTGTCTAGTGCCTTACATCATAAAGACTTCCGACTGTTTTTTGACTCTTCGTGAACTTCTCATTGCTATCTTTCCCATTACGAGTCAAGCAGCCTTCGTATTCACCAGAAAAACACCTTTTGGCGAAAACGACTGATTCCGAATTTATTACAAATAAAATGCTCCACAGTTGGGGGCCTCACTTAGCTATTAGTTGCTTGCAAACTGCATCCGCTGCCAAGCAGCCTTTGCTAGATTTTTTCGGGCCCAGTCTGACCTGATAAGTCATAGCAGTGGGTTTCCGGCGCAAGCATATTACGTTTAATAGTTGGTACCACCAGCCCTGAAAACATTGTAATCCACGGCTAATTTCGTCTAGTGAGAGGACGTCATCACCTTGCAGGCTTAGCACTGTCAGTGACAGTGGAAAATATGTGGTGCTATATCCCAGATATCTTTCAAATTATGTAGTCTAGCCAACATCCGCCATGGCTCAGTGGTTTAAGCTGCTGGCTAGTTGGCATCCGTCTCTAGCGGTCATGGGTTCGATCCTCCTTAGAGGACCGAGGGAATGCGCGCCACTGACGGGCCCCAATAGGGCGAAACGCGTCTGGTGTTTTTCCGGACAAGGCTGTATTATGTAGCTTGTGAACTATCGGGATGAATATCTTACCATAATTTCGCAATTGTTTGGTCTTATCGGGTGGAGATAACGGGCATCTAACCCGGGGTTTTTGGGACTTTAGCTGAAATCTCTACCCTTAAGTAACGAGTCACGGCGAGCATCAGATTTCACAACGGTTGATGACTGAATGGATCATTTTGATCAGATTACATTGATATGGCGTAATATAAGCTGGGCGATGCGTGGTCTACTGTGCTTTTTTATAACTAAATGTGGGGTGAAGACAGCTGCAAAAGTTGCTTCTACAGATGCCCTATATTCTTGGTGGTTATGAAATAATAGCTATGAGGAGGCTGCTTTACGTTGCTTCGTATGCGTTATGGTAAAGGAACTCAGATTTGTACGACCAACTGCTGTGGTATGAGCGATTTCGTCGGAAATCTAACTCGTCTTGCGCCCTGGGCTTGGGCACAGATAAGATGCTAAAGAAAAAACCCATAAGGCTAGGACAACTGGATCCCCGTAAACCAACTACCGACTAAAGACAATGCGTTTACACTGTCATGTTTGCAGGTAAATATGGTTGCAACATGATAAGTGTGTTTAGGGTTAGCTTACAAAATGTTTTCAGCTAAATGAAAGTGCCTATTTAGTTCAACGGAGCAGAAAGTTGGCAAACAAGGCTAACAACTCTGCTCGAGGGTTCCAAAATTTGTGTTTGGACTCCTTGAACAGCTTCCGCTGCTTCTTCAACCGACCCTCTCAGAACATCCCCAAACGGTGTGTTTATTGTTGCTAGCTTAAAAGCAAACCAAACGATTTGTTCGATATTCATCAGAATGATAGAAAAAGTAGCTATCGGGTAAAAAGTCAAAGTTTAACAATTAACATGAGCTGACCGGAGGAAGAACTGTAATCTAATAAATAAACAAGTCAATAAAAATAGCGCATATCATATAAGCACCATGATATTCACATGCACACCAATAGGATGGCTGGTGTTTTTCGCTTTAGTCTTATGTCTATAAATACGAATAACTTCGCTACCGATGAAAGGTTAGTGTCGATTATTCTTGTTTTTACTAACGGAAACATGTGAGCGGAAATGACATAAGTCAGAAAAGCGTCTCAAGACCGTCAACCTAGAGGAAGGGGTCTTCAACAGGCGTATTCCAGTTCATCCTGGTGTTCGTTTAACTGCAGTCATGCGCCACTCAAATTGGTGCTAAGTCCAAGTTTCACAAAGTGGCGACAACTCCGGCTGGGAACCTTCAGTAGCTAGCAACTCTTGATGAGATCATGCCCTAGAGGTCAAAGTAAGCCGGCATGAATTCTGCAAAACCCATGAGCCTCTTATTCATTCGTCGTTGTCTCCAGTACAGCTGAATTATTCTGTTAGAACCACCAGGCCTGAATAGCGTACACTACATGAAGGAAGCACCAAAGATTTAGAGACCTACTTAAAGTTGGAGTAGACAAAAAACCTCAGGGCTCTGCAAAACAACACAAATGTGTTTTCCTGAATCTCGACACTGTATTGATTTCATGGAGCAGCCGAAATCATCCGGAGATAGTGTATCAACGTAAATCTAAGCATGTATACGTCAGCTAGTTGGTGACTTCTCTGAGCCACCTCGAATATGTAAGCATAAAAACTACGCAGCTACCTCAATGTACGTCGTGTCGGAATAAGCGATGAGCCTCTAGATTACTACCCTCTCATCACAGGTTGAAATCACGGGCGAGGATTAAAAATCTGACGTCAAATCTCACGTGACGTTAATGTGGAACTTCAGAGATAGACAAAAGATGAAACATGTAGTACATCATAACCGAGTTGAATTGGATCAGGCAATTGGCCCCAAGCTCATTCTCGTAGGGTTGGTGTTAACATGCCCATATATATCGTCTGAAGAAGTAAAATTTGGCCAAAAAGTTTGAGCAGCGATTTGTAAGTATTGACGGAACTCGCTTCAGAAAGCATCACTGGATGAGATATAATGTCTGCTCTACCAGTACCCATCCAGTGAAAATATGTTGAAATCATCCCATACACAAAGATCGGTTTACGTGGGTTAAACATTGTCATATATTATTAATATATGAATATGTAAAGGACAATTAGAGGAAGAAGATCGGCAGATGCATATATTTCGTATCGTCTCATCAGTGCCGATAACCATAACCGGTAATTTTGTATAACAGTTTGCGGGTACAGACATACATACAAACAAACGCGAGAAAAAAGGGGTGTTTTTCTTCTACAACCAGGGCAGCCTGAGACTGACCGAGAATTGTTTTTGCACACAAAGCACTCACTTAATCCGATTAATGGCAATAGACTCGGCAAACCGGAGGAGCCGGGAGTTAGTATGGCGAAGCGGGATTCTAAACGCCTTGTTGCCCTCAATTCGGTGACCCGATGTCAATAAGTGCCTGGCGATCAAGGATGCTGACTGCCTGCGTATACACGTAGTTTGCGTTGGGCTTGGTTGCTGAATAAGCCCGCATTGAACCCATTTTGGTACATGCTCCTTTATTCGGAAACTCAGTTCTATTGGTTCTGCCCATGTAACTATCACCGCAGTTATCCACGAATTGATATACGCATTGGGAGTTGGCGCCAATAGGCTGAGTTTCCTTTAGTGGAGACAAAGGTAGTTTATGAGTCCGGTCGATGATTACAACTTCGGAAGCACAGAAAGTGCTCTGTGTGGCGGAAATCAGACGTCTTCTGGTCCTCAAACAAGCAATGTCACCCTTAAAGTGCAGCTCTAAGAATACCTTTTGCTTAGGTACAGTAGGTATAGCAACTTTGATTTCACGGATTTCGCTGTGGTTCCGGATAAATGTTCGAGAGTAGTCATTAGCGATTAACGTGTTGGTAATTAGTTCTGGTTCATCGGCTAGACAATCGGTTGAACATATTCGTCTGGTGCGACTAAACAGGATCTTCACATGTGTTCGCTTGTGCCGCATTGGAGTAAAGCTGCTAAAATGCAGATACTGTCCCGACCACGTTGTTTTTCGATAGACAGACCATTTTACCAGTCCATTCTCCCTGCGGCTGATAAGAGCACCCAAAATATGAAAGACAGTTCCGTTGTTCGACTTCGTAGGAAACCCTCAAATTGACATGCGAGAAGTTAAATCGCGCCACTAGCTGTGCGATCTGTACTTCCATTGAATTGAACACCAAGATATCGTCCACGTAGCGTTTTTAATAAGGTAACTGCGTTGTTTCTTCAGATAGGCTTCCTTCTATCATCAGCATGATTAGATCCGCTATTATGGGACCCAGTGGGCTGCCCATGGCTACCCCATCAATTTGGCGATGCGGCATAATTCGGAAGTGGAAATCCATAATCTCTGTGCATAGAAGTAATGATTATTTTATGAATTCAACTAGAATCGGCAACGGACATTCGGAGTTTTCTGCTAATTCGCAGATGTATTCAAGGGTCAGGTGTGGTGGCACGTTAGTAAACAAAGATTCCACATCTAAGGAACACATCACCTTATCGGACAAGTTCATTTTATCGAGGTCTTCGACAAGCTCGAAGGAATCTTTCAAGCCATATAGATTAAACTGAACTTTAGCGGAGAAAGTACATTAACCAACCAGCGAGCTAATTTATGTTGGGGTGCGTTCGTCATCGAGAGGATCGGTCTGAGCAGCATTACGCTCTTGTGAGTCTTTGAAAGCACATATAGCTGAGGCGTAGTTGATTCACTCGGCTTTAAACTATTATAAGTAGCGCTGTCGAGCACGTCATACTGATGAAGCGTTTCTAAGTGGCGAATGATTCGGGATTCGAATACAATCACACTCGCTACCTTCTCCAGTCGTTTAAATTTGTTAGTGTCACTGTGTATGGTGCTCATCTTCTTTGTTCATGACTACAACTCCTGACCCCTTATCCGGCTTCATTACAACTACATCCTTATCGCGCAATTCACGTAACACTCGTAGGTGTCTGTTCGTAAGCGCACACTTTTCTTTTAGTGGTGCATTTCTTACAACATAGGCAACATCGGTCAATTTGTTTCTAAACCATCTAAGCTTATCGGTACTAGTTGGTTGAAGGTCTTCCACCTGATCAAAAAGTTCTGAAACTGAGTCTCAATGAACAATCCCATCAATCGTCTAGGAGGCACTCTGTAACCTAGCCCGCAAGACAACGCTTCTAACTGTAGTGCATCAAGGTTCACATTTGACAGATTCACCATATACTTACTGGGCTCCCGAGTACATGGCCCCTCATCTTGGTTGTGTATCAATGCTTTTTCGAGCTGTGCTAATTCCTTCATTTTGGTACCATCGATTTTGGCTTTACAAAATTGGTTGTATGTAATCCGACAGCAGACTGACAAGTTTGCGACTCTGAGCAACAGGCATGCAGGGGGTTTCCAGTAGGCCATCAAGTCTGGCTCGCGAGGTCTCCAATCGGGCAGGTGCGACGCGTCTGTGATTAGCTGCAGGAGGCTTAAGCTTGTTTCTACGTAACAGTTACCAAATCGTTCGATGATAACGACGTATACGAATACAATCCGACAAAACATTAATTTCCACACGTACGCGAGCAATCTTGCACCTCAGCTTGATGATACGATGAAGCACTTTAAAGGAATGAGGGGGAATTCGTCGTTTGAGAAATTTAAAACAGTTAGTTCCCTTTAGTAGCTTGAAAAGCACGGATAGCAGAAGAAGTTCGGCAAATACGTGCATTTCGTATCGTATCATCAGTGCCGATAACCATAACCGGTAATTTTATATAACAGTTTGTGGATGGTTGGCGGCATCCGGTTTCGGATTTGCCTGTCACTGTGGCCAGCCACAGGACGCCTGCGCCTATAGAGGGAATACGGGTGGCATGCGCTGCACCACCCATAACTCCATCCACACACCCCATATTCAGTGTAAACCCGAAGGAATAAGACCGGGAGGCATGTGGATGGGAGCCACGTTTCATCAACGGAGCCGGCCCACACTCCTTCACAGGCAAAAACAAGCACGTTGTATTTGGGAATCAAGCGCACACAAGGCGGTGGCTGGACCGTATTCCGCTACACACTGAGTGCATGGATCCACTCTTTGATCCTAACACGGCCACAAGGACCGTGCACCCCGTCCCCTCCAGTAACGACTAAATGTTTCCTAGAGCCAGTATGGACGAGTTAGTAGGTAATAGACAGGTCGGCACCTTGTCAGCATGCACATCAAGAGCAGCCACAACGGGGATATCAAGCAACAACCAATCACTTGAGAGAAAGATAACAAATAAAATCAATCGAATAATGCATAAGGAAACGTGGCAAAAATCTTAAATTAATGCGCCTATGAAATAAGTTGTTAACAAAGGATCCGAGATAAGTCCAAGGGATCAGAAAGTATATTTTACGGAAATGACAAACGCGAAAATGTTATCGAAATTAACTACAATTGGCTTAAGCGAGTTGTGTAGATTTATAGAAGAGCGTACACGTGGACATTTATTTGAGAAAGAAAAGCATTAGGACAAAATTGAAAACCCACCACCTGAAATAAAGAGACTTAGCATGCAAGCACGCGGTTAGTAAATCGAATGCAGCCTACCTATAAACGCTGCGCTGGTTCTGCCTACGTTCACTGCTGGACCCGTCGTCGCTTCGGTCGTGGTCCCGAGTGGCCTCGCTCATGGCTCACTAAGCCTGCCTGACTAAGGCACTCGCGACCGCATGTTCTACAGCACAATGCGCTCGATGTCGATGGAGTACAATTCATCGGTGCTTGCCGCTTCCGCACTTGCCGCTTCTTCTCTGCATGTCTGAGGTCTTTCTCCTGCACCTCGGCAACTGCCTTCGTGATAAGATCGCACCATGCACGCCGATCAACCGCCTTCGATTCCCATAATCTGCAATCAAGATTAGAACGTGAGAGGCTCACTTTAATCATGTCCTGGTAACGGAACTTCGATTTACCCACGTGCCGCTTCCCTATATCCAGCTGACCATATAATAATTGTTTCGGTATCTGCGTCGAATCCATACGGCTCACATGACCGAGCCACCTCAGGTGTCTCAATAAAGTATGCAGTCCACTGCATACACTCCACTACAGCGCAACATTTCCGTGTCTGCAACTCTGTCGCCCCAGCCGATGCGCAAAATCCGTCGCAAACACTGCTGATGGAACGGCTCGAGATATCGCACATCCCGCCGGTACATCGTCCACGCGTCACTGCGGTATAGAAGAACGGAGTGCATCATGATTTTGTACACCATCAGCTTCGTGCCAATGGTTAGATGATGGTTGTTCCACGCTCGGTACTCAAGC